AAAGCTATTGTGTGTATTATGGCTCCACTGTTAATCGCTGCTGGAACACAATTACTAAGGGTATCCGTTGCTTCACCATCTGTCAAAAAAATGATTTCATCTCCCAATACATCTTGATTGTCAGTTTTGAGTACCTTAAGGTTTTGAAGACAAAAAACACTGGCATTTAACAAACAATCAGACATTATAAACATGCAAAATTACGCTTGGTTGTGTAACTAATATAGCACCTGCAAGCCTAGGTTAAGGCCTTTACACATATTTGTCGCTCCTTCTGCTACATTAGGCAACAATTTGACAAGATTCTCTCGTGTGGACTCTTTGTCAATAGTAGTCAAGGCACTGAGAGTAGAAGCATCAGTACTAAAGGTAACAAGTGCCACGCTGGACTGATCCTCAATGATGTTCTGCAGGAAATGAGCTGAAGCCTGCTGCAGTCGAAGAATACGTGAACCCTAGAAAATGGATGCAACTTTAAAAATCTTGGCATGTAATAGGCATGCCATGTAACATCAATTTTATGCATCAAAGTATTTAAAAACTATTAATTGGAGCACTAAAGTTTATATAAAGGAAACCTAGGGTTTTCAAACTATACTTTAAGGAGTTTAGATGACCCAGGGTTAACTTTTTCAGGTGTGAAAAGCATGTCTGTTTTTAGGTCAAGTGAATGCTTTTCCATACTTTCATGCTTCCAGAGACATCAAGAACCAGACAAACAGTTCTTTGCATCCGCTGCACAACTTTGAAATTTGGCGCTGGTGGAGTCGATGCCATTGGTTTTAGAGAACGAAGTGCGTCTTTATCCACAGAATCCTCAAATATTACGGTCCAAGTCGCTTTGTTGCTGCATTTTGCATTTTGCAAGTTTGGGGCTTCATAATTGTGCTCGCTTTCACGACAAAATGTGATCACCTGAAACAAAAACATTTTTGATGGAACACTGGTGGTTTATGCTGCATAGAAACCACTGCAGATGTGGAATTCTGTCCTTACAGAATCCAGGCTTGGCAAAGACATCATGGAGCTGTCTGTGCTTTGATATTTGTTGGGAATAAACCTGCACCCATCAGTTGGTAGTGAAGTTTGTGGATCATTCTGGCACGGTTGAAGAGGATCAGCTGTAACATCATAAAGCTGACCTTCAATGTTTTTGCTACACCTGATGAACAGTAAGAAATCAATAGTTGAGATCATTTTCAAATAGATTTTTAAAGAAAATACTTAATTTGTGTTAACATTCCTGACCTTGTGGCTTCAATCTTGCCACTGGCAGAGCGGTAGAATGGAGTTTTTTCACTATATTCATCATATACGCCCCATCTCAAATGAGCCCATTCATGCACCAAGACCTTTCCTGCAAAAAATGAACCATCCTCACTTATAATAAAAGCATATTGCAGTTTAAACTGTTGATGGATAAAAATTGATGTTTACCTCTTGACCCGTAAAGCCTAATGAGTTTGTCGTCTCGGAGGAAATTTGGTGTGAAATGAATGTACTGACCCTCGGCTCCACATTCACCATACTGGTTAGTGTACGGTTCATCACCGTATGCTGGATGAGGATTATCGATTCTTATCATGCCCTGCATTTCATACAGGAATATATCTTGTAAGTGAAATGAATGAACATTCAGATTTAACAAATAAGATAGTGGCGTAATTTGTCATACCGTTTCGAATAACTCTGTTCTTGCTTTGGTAAAGCCCTTACTATTCCAGTTGAGTGGCACTAGTATTGTAACTTCTTTGAAATAGACCTTTTTATCCAATGCTTTATACAGATGAACTGACCCTTCAGTGACCATGTCCTGTCAGAATGAAAATATTACAATATAAGCAGAGAGTACATGTGTTTATGTAAAGCAGTAAAAATTTATTGTAAATGTCGTACACAATTACGAATAGCATTTAACATTTTTAGTTTGAATGGGGTATAATAGTTGCTAAAAAAACTATTCTCTAATAAATGTAAGGCTATCCTTACTAATTAAAATAAGTTAAACATTAACACACACACACAAACACACTCATGCATATCATTTAAGTAAAAACTTCCACGGGCATGCGCTCCCGTTTATTTGCGCGAAAGCAACCGTGCCGAGAGGAAGTGCAAAGGGTGCGATTGGTTCCCTTTAAAATAGACTGGACAAAAAGCAATGATCGTGCACCCACGGTCCTGCTGCTTTCAAGAGCTCAAGATCTAAAAAATAAATACACATTCTTTTGTAAGCAGCAGCGGTCACTGCTTTCATTTGAATTATTCTTAGAAGAGATTGTTAACAGGCCTTACATTAACCGTGTGCACGGTATGTTTCACCTGCTTTCTTTTGCTTATAGTTATTTTTGTTAATATGCTTTAATTATATTTTTTACAATAACATTGCTTTAATGGGAGACAACTCCCCTTTTGTGTAGTTAACTGCTGATCTGGGACTTTTAACCAGGACAGATTACTGTTCATATTTTAGATACATGACAATAATCATTTTTTAAATGTAATGTTTTTTTTAAGAAAAGTTTTTTGAATTAAAGTGCACCTATAAAGCAAAATTTTCCTTCAAAAATTGTGGCTAAGAAATAACTTATTTGGTGTGGTCAGAGATGAATTTGGTAACCCTTAATTTTGAGTCCTGAAAAATAAAAACTCATTGCATTGCGACACAACCCATTTGCTCATGCACACTGAGCAAGCCAATACACAACACACAGAAGAAGTTAAATGAATGAGAAGGCATGTAAACATAACACAACATCTAAATCAAGTAATTCAGCATGTCAAAGTCAAATTTACGCAAACTATATTTTCCCAACAAGAAAAGTGTGACTATAGTAAAAATGGCGAGTGCCTATACTTTTAAAAAATTGTAAAAATTCGGTAAAACCTTATTTTGTTGGTCCATTTGAGTATTAGTAGACACTGCTCCTTCAACAGACATTAAACTGACTGTAAGAAACCTTGCAAATACATGTCAACTTGCACTTACCCTAACTCTAACCCCAACCTAACAGTCTACTTATAATCTAATGAGAATAAGTTGGTATGTATATGCAATGTAACTTAAATTCAACTAAAGGACCATCACAATAAAGTGTGACCAAAAACTCTAATTATTTCTCAATGATGTTAAATAAACAATTTAAATAAAATAAAAATGCAGTTCAGTACAAAATTCGAATTACAGGGGAAACACTGCAAAACTTTTTTTACATTTGTAATTTTTTTTTAATTCTACCTACTTCTTTCACATTTTAATAGAGTGCATATTTACCTTGATTTTATCAATGAGTTTGTCGTCCTCTGGAACTTTTGAACTGATTGCAATTGTAATGTCAATGTATCCATTTCCATCTAGTTTGATTCCAGTAGACGTGGACAACCGCAGCATCCATAATAAGACAAACACCGATCTTAAGTGCATGACTGCAGAGTCTATTGTTTTGCAGAGTCTATATTGTTTTAAACAATATCAGAAATGATCTTAAGGTATTTGAGTGTGGGTTTTTATGTCACGCAGGGGTGTGACTATATTATTTCAGCATCAGGGGTTGAGCCCATCGTCCATCACAAACAAAAAGCTGTATTTACTGTGATCTCATTCAGTTATCATAGTAAACTAATGCATCTACAACATTTTAATCCTTATAAAATGTTCTGATGTGATAACACAGAAATACTGATGTGAATAAAATATATGTTAGTAGTATCAATGTGTTAATCTGCAGCTAATAAGAGTTTTGACATCATGCTAAAAGACCAGAATCCCTGAGGCATGTTTCCAGGACTGTAGCTATGTTTCCATCCACCTATTTTATGCTCATTTTGCAAATGCGCATTAAAAAAAACAGTTGATGGAAACGCCATGATGCGCATAAATTTTGAAAAAAAGTATGCGCCTAACTGGGTCGGATAAACTTTTTATTTGATTAGAAAAGATGCGCAAAAACTGCGATGGAAACACTTTTACCGCACAAACTCCAGCATGCGCATTAAAAAAGGTCATGTGATTTTGTTAAAAGAGATCATGTGATGCTTAAAATGTGTGTGAATGGATAAAACGTCTGATTGAGCACATTATAAAACATCTGAAATGTTGTTTTGGTCATCATAAAATGCCTTACCATTTCAGTATTAATGTTATTATATTATTAATGACCTCCAGAATCAAGAGCGCCTGTGCTCCGCGTCTGACACCTTCAAATGCCACTTCGTGCTCACTGCTGGTCAGGATTGTCTTCTGAGGCGCATTCATTTAGAAAAGATTGATGCAGCTTCTCCTACTGCAGCAAATGCAGTTTTTACTGTTGATATTTGGCGCCAGTTAATCAGGAAGTGGCGATTTTGTTCGCTTTGACTCATTGGATGGAAACGATGCTTCATTCGCACAACTTTTATATGATAATCCAGTTTTGCTCATAAAATTTATTCGCATTTTTGGATGGAAACATAGCTTGTGTTGATCTATACCATGAAAAAATTAAGGCATTTCTGAAGGCAAAAGCGCCCAAACAGTGCAGTGCTATAAAACTTAATACAATAGGCAATGAAACACAGCAAGAAGGTCGCTGGTTCAAGCCCCCAGCTGGGTCAGTTTGTATTGGCAATTCTATGTGCAGTTTGTATGTTTTCCCCATGTTCGTATGGGTTTGTTGGTGCTCCGGTTTCCCTTACAAGTGCGAAAACATGTGGTTTAGGTGAATTGGGTAAACTAAATTGGCCGTAGTGTATGTGTGAATGAGTGTGTGTTGGTGTTTCCTTGTGATGGGTTGCAGCTGGAAGGGCATCTGCTGGATATCTGCTGGATAAGTTGGCGGCACATTCCGCTGTGGCGACCCCAGATTAATGGGACTTAGCCAAAAAGAAAATGAGTGGATAAATGACACTGAACCAACACTCATTAGTTGCTGACTTGTGGCTGATGAATATGCATAAATCGTGACAATAACCCCCCCCTTATGTTTACATATAGTAACTGCAAAAACCTACTCCAATACAAACAGTTTGATATATCAGTTTTATTTATTTGATATGCAGTTGTAATTAATGCCTTCTGTGGTACAGGTATGTTATTGTTTTACAAAATATTCTGAAGCATTATGGTCAAAATAGCATAAAGCATGAAGACTGATTTGATATAGATTGCATTAGATTACTGCAGATCTTCTTCGTCTCACTGCCCATGTGATTACACCAGCAATAAAGCATATGAAGATAGTTACCACAAACAAAGAAATAACAAAAACTTTCCAATTCAAGCCTGGGTTTGATATTTCCAGCAGTTTTGGACTTGAGAGAATCTTTGATGCTGAAGCAATGTTGGAGGTTTCAGATTTTGCGTTTTGTTCATCCTGAGACTGAACCGCAAAAAAGAGCGTGGTGCCATTTTGGATTGGTAAACTGAGAATGAATGTGTGCTGTTCAACTGATCCAAACACCTGTGGTGAGATGGCAGATGTGTTCACTGCATGAGCTTCGCTGAAGTTTTGTTGAAGTATTTTTAGGTCAAAGCTCCACCTGATGTCATAGGATTCAGCTTGAGGAAAAAAGAGTGCAAATGCAAGACAATGAAAAATAGTTTTCATGATCAAACTTGACAATGAAGATGTGAAAGAAATTAAAAACCTTGTTTTTTTTTGTTTTTTTTTTAAAACAGGCATGGTAATTGTATGCTTTACCTGTCCCTTGGTCAAGGTCTTCACCAGGAGCCGTCCAGCTGAGAAGCACAGCCTCCTCTTGGATCTCAGCACTCAGATCTGTGACTTTGTTAGGAGGGAAATTTGGTGTAATTGAGCTTATTACCTCAAAACTCTCACCGGTGGCTGTTCTGGTGAAGCTTCCAACCTCCAGTAGTTCCTCAGAAACTAAAGGCTTTGGTGGGTTCAGCTCCACTACACCTGAAAATAAAGGAACCACTTGAATTATTCTGCAAGATCGAGTTTGAGGAAATGTTTGTTTTATTTATTTAGTCTCAGGGTTTACCGTCCACCACATATCCTGGTACGTATGGTGCACCACCTCTCTTTTGAAGAGCAAATCTGGCTTGTCCATCTTTATTTTTAACACTTATTTTCAAGCTGCTTCTTCCTTTTTTCATCCGTGTGAAAAATCTAGAATAGACTCCATCATCTTTAAAAGCATCAGCACCTGTAAAAAAATAGATTCGAGTTAAAATAAAGTTCACTTCCTGTGAGCTGCTGTGCAGCTTGCAATAACTCTATATGTCTAGAGAAAAGACACTGTGCTTGACAAATCACCTGTAGAAACACTCTTCTCTATATGGACCAGACACTTTACTTAAACTCCATCTTAAAACAACTAGTGCAGACAAAACCCAATTGCGTTGTTTCCTCACTCACGTGCCTCACGCCTGATTCCATCAGGACCAAAAAGCTGCCCATTAACACACCAAATACAATGTGGTAAAAAAATCTGAAAAACATCCAGAGTAACCAGAAGACCTAGAAGCAACCAAATAGATAGAATGGGAATGTACTGGGAATGGGAAGGTACAATGAAGTGCAGATAAATCCAGGGAAAACCAAGTAGGTAATGGCTTGAGAAAATAGGCATCAAGTAAAGAGGGCTAAATCAATTGATTGAGATTGGGTTAAAGGATTGTGGATGTTGGGACAGAACAAAAAGTGATCTGTGTGAAACACAAGCTTGAAAACCAAAAGACTCAACTGATACTCAACAAACACCTTTGGCCAGAAATACATCTGATTTTCATCTGATTTAGAGATTCATTTTGACTTTTGAGAATATTTTTTCTTTATTGTCAGGCTGAACTACATCTTTGTCATGCATTGTTTGTCTTGCTGTGTTTGTGTAGTCTACAGGGAATTATGAGGTGTGGTGGTCCTTTGTTTGGACCTTTTCATAAAACTATTGGAAGCTTGTGTATTTTTATTGCTTTAAATTGTATATACAGTGGTGGACTGTCACTTTGGGGAATCTGCAGGGCATACCTAACGGGGAACTTTACTGACAGATGAAAAAGCACACGTGTCTCCGTGTTAAAACCTTGCAAATGTATTACGTGTTGCCCAGCCCGCAGCTCTACAGATGTCTGTTAGAGAGGCGCCACGAGCACGCGCTCAAGAGGATGCGATGCTCCGAGTGGAGTGCGCATGCACTCTCGGGGGACACGGCTCGCCCTGGCTCTGGTAAGCGAGGGAGATGGCATCCACTATCCAGTGGGCCAACCTCTGTTTCGATACAGCACTTCCCGGCTGCCGACCGCCATAACAGACGAAGAGCTGCTCAGATGATCTAAGCTCTGAGTGCGGTCCAGATAAAATACGCAAAGCACGAACTGGACAAAGTAAGAAAAGGGCTGGGTCTGCCTCTTCCAGGGACAGCATTTGCAGGCTCACTACCTGGTCTTTAACGATGTGATAGGAACCTTGGTCACATATCCCGGGCGGGGTCTCAGATAACGTGATAAGCCAGCCCTTATTACAGGCACAGAGTCACTGACCGAAAAATGCCTCCAGGTCCCCGACCCTCTTAATCGATTTCAACGCAACCAGCAGAGCTGACCTTAGGAATAGAAATCTTAAAGAGTCGAGGATCGAAGGGATCTGACGCTGGCTCATGAGAACGAGGTGCGAGATCCTAAGAGGGCATGAGAGGGGGGCGGGGTGGATTAATTCTCCTAGTGCCTCTGAGAAACTGGATTATGAGGTTATGCCTTACCACAGTGCTGCCAGCCACCGCGTCATGAGAGCGGAGATGACAGCCACGTAACCTTGAGTGTGGAGGGCGACAGCCTGCTCTCCAGCTTCTCTTGAGGGAAAGAAAGCGCAACACTGATCTGTCAATTTTTGGGGGTCTTCTCAGTGAGAGACGCACCATTCAGTGAATAGACTCCACTTCAGGGCATAGGCGCGCTCGAGGAGGGGGCTCTAGCTCGATTGACGGTATTAACCACTGCAATCGGTAGGTTACCCAAGTCTTCCTCGCGTCTAGGGACCACACGTGGAGGTTCCAAAGATCGGGGCGAGGGTGCCAGATGGTGCCCTGTCCCTGAGAGTATAGGTCCTCTCTCAAAGGGATCTGCCAGGGGAGGGCCGTCGCGAGGAGGGAGAGCTCTAACAACCAGGTCCTGTTCGGCCAGAGGGGCGCAACCAGCAAAACCTGTTCCTCGTCCTCCCTGACCTTGCACAGTAACTGCGTGAGCAGGCTTACTGGGGGAAACGCATATTTGCGCATGCCCCGAGGCCAGCTGTGGACCAATCCATCCGTGCCGAGAGAGCCCTCGGTCAGGGAAAAAAACAACTGGCAATGAGCGTTCTCGAGGGAAGCAAACAGATCGATCTGGGCTTCCCCGCATCGCGCTCATATCAGCTGAACAGACTCGGGGTGGAGTCTCCATTCTCCAGGACGTAAAGGCTGCCGTGAGAGCGCATCGGCTGCACGGTTGAGCTTGCCTGGAATGTGAATGGTGCGCAGCGATTTCAGCAGTGGATGACTCCAGAGGAGCAGACAGCGGGCAAGCTGAGACATGCGGCGAGAGCGAATACCCCCCATGCAGTTGATATACGCCACCGCCGCTGTGCTGTCCGTCCTTACCAGCACATGCTGCTGCTCCAGCACCGAAAAAAAACCGGAGAGGCAGGAATACTGCCAACAGCTCCAGCCGATTTATGCCAATGCAACTGGGTTCCTTTCCACAGGCCCGAAGCTGCATGCCCGCAGCACACAGCCCCCCAGCCCGTGCTGGAAGCATCTGTTGAAACAACAACATGACTGGACGCCTGTACTAGAGGCACTCCGGCCTGTAGGAACGAGGGGTCATTCCAAGGGCTGAGGGTGCGGCGACACAGCGCAGTAACAGTGACTCGGTGTGTGCCTGCATGCCATGCACGTCTGGGGACTCGATCGTGAAGCCAGTGCTGGAGTGGTCTCATATGGAGTAATCCGAGCGGCGTGACAGCGGCTGCCACTGCAGATGCGATATGCCCCAGGAGCCTCTGAAATAATTTCAGTGGGACCACTATTTTGCTGTCGAGCTCTCTCAGACAGTTCAGCATCAGCTGAGAGCGCTCTCCGGAGAGGCGCGCTGTCATGGAGACCGAGTCCAGCTCCAGCCCGAGAAAATAGATCCTCTACACGGGGGCTAGTTTGCTCTTTTCTCGGTTAACCTGAAGCCCTAAAATCAGCCAGTCGGTTAACCTGGGCTAAAATCAGCCAGTCGTGAAGATAATTGAGTATGCGGATGCCCGTGAGCCGAAGGGGCGCTAAGGCACCCTCTGCAAGCTTGGCGAAGACCCGCTGAGACAGAGAGAGCCTGAAGTGGAGGACTTTGTATTGCCAAGCTTGACCTTTGAACGCAAACCGTAGAAACTGATGGTGGCGAGGAAGAATGGAGACATGGAAATACGCGTCCTTCAGGTCTATTGCTGCAAACCAATCCCGAGGACGAACGCACCAGAGGATGCGCCTCTGCGTGAGCATTCTGAACGGCAGCTTGTGCAGACAGTGGTTCAAAACGCGCAGATCTAGGATTGGCCATGACCCACGGCTCTTTTTGGGTACGATGAAGTACGGGCTGTAAAACCCGCTCTCCATGTCGGCTGGAGGGACCGGATCAATTACATCCTTCGCCAGGAGGACAGCAATCTCCTCTCGCAAGACAGGGGGCTGACCCTGGGGAAATACACACCTGTTAACTTGGGGGGCCGTTTCGCGAACTGAATCACATAGCCGAGTCTGATTGTGCATATGAGCCACCGCGAAGGGCTGGTCCGCGCTAACCAAACAGGCAGAGCTCTCGCTAATGGACTCATCACTACAATCGCTGACGTACCAGCAGTGGGGCAGCGCGGAGTGGGTGTGCTGATCCGGAAAGTGCGAGGGTCCCAAGGAAGACCTGGAGGCGACAGATTTGCTCTCACTCCGCACCCATACTCCGGAGAGGGGGCTCGAGGGGTGGGAGAAAGGAGACCGTCCTCCCAGCACTCGTGCGCCACTGGCGAAATGCACCGAACCTGCGAGCTAGAAGCATAGTGACTCTCAGATTTCGAGCTGTCACATCCGGGGAAGTGAAAAAAAGCTTTTTCATAGATGTTTTCATGGCAGTAAAAAGTGCCGTTGAAAATGGGGCCTGGCCCTCCAGTGGGGAAAGAGCAAGTTTCCTCTTCTCCAGATGACCTGTGCCAGGGACGCTTTGCGGTCCGTTTACTGGACTTAGCGGCACTCTGAGCAGAGGGGGCTGCCTGCTTTCGAGGTGCTCGATGCGCTTGCTTCGCCGGAGGCGGGGCAGCTCTCGTAAGCAGGCGCCTTCGGCAAGGAGCAGCAGATATGGATGGTTCGGCAGGCAGAGCGGGCTTACGGTCCCACCGAGAGGTGACATTATCCATCGCATCAGCCTCCTCTCTCACCGCCTTGAATTCCTGGGTGAATTCACAGACGGTGTCGCCGAACAGGCCAGCTTGGGATATGGGGGAGTCAAGAAAGCGGACTTTGTTGACTTCGCACAAATCAGCCAAGTTTAGCCAGAGGTAGCGCTCCTGGTTCACTAATGTTGACATCGTCCTCCCCAACGCACACGCAGTGGACTTAGTGGTCCCAAGAGCATAGTCGGTTGCGGTGCGAAGCTCATGTAACAAGCCTCGGCCAGCGCCTGCACTTGCAGTGCAGGGGACAGCTGGGGTAGCTAGCCATGATCTTAACTGCGCAACAGTCATGGTATCGCAATGACGACATAAACTGCCCACGAGCACCGCATAAACATGGTGAACCCCCAGACATGCAATGCAGTGCTCGTGCCTATCATCTGTGGACAGGAAACCACTGCATCCAGAAACGCACGGTCAAAGCGACATCCTGAAAAGGACGTGCTGCATGACTGTGTTGCTCTTTTGGCGAAATTTGCAACTTTATACGCATCGCTCTGGAGGACTGGACCCAAAGAACACCAGGCAAGGGAGAACCCCAGCTCATATTGCTGGATATCAGCAGGAGGAACCCTCATCGACTTTCTCAGAAGGCTGTAACAGTCTCTGAAGCGAAAAGGATGGCGTTTCCTTGCTTTCCCTGTACTTATATGCCGAGCTAATTGCAATAAGGCACACGTGCACAAGCTTACGCTGCCAACTCATTTTGTATTTCATTGGCCCGTTATATTCTCTTTTAGACAATTGGCTTTCTGAAACGAAATCCCCATTCATGGATTAAATCCACTTATATCATTGAAGTTCCCCATCCGAAGGGGAACGAAGACATCTGAAATTAGAGGCATGTGTGAAAGTTAATAGGGCCAGACTTGAGTCTTTCTTAAATTTGATAAGAAGAATGAACTCCAGAGGACATGAGGGCAACTAAAACGCATCAGTGTAAACTGGGCCTAAGCCAACTTCTACATGTGAGCTGTACTCGCATTGCAGGGAAATAGAAACAACACTTTAGTTTTTGCACACTGACAACCCATGTCTCTGAACAATTCTTCCTCTTCTATCGGGTTTAATTGTGAAACTTGGAAGGTGCGTCTCTGAACACAATAAACTAAAAAGAGTCAATAAAGTCTCAGGCATAGTCATGAAGTTTAATATCATTCACAATAGAGCGCTCTGATTGGTTCAAACCAACTGTTTCTCATGAATTATTGCACAAACATGCTGAAAAATCAACAACGTCAATGTGTACTGCCCAGTACTGCCGGCCAGTGGTTTCCTTGACTGGTTTGTTAAGCGGTAAGTCCCTTCTCCTCCTGTGCCCTCCTATGCCCAATGCAAGTTGAAGAGAGCACGCTTCACCTCATGGCAGACAGGAACAATTCACCAGGACTTCCTGGATGGTTGCTGCCCTGACACATGCTGTGTGCCTGTGCCAGACCGATGGGTATCTCACCCACTCCAGTTACCTTCTGGACACTTTGTCAGGCTGATGGCACTGCTTTTTGTCTTCCCATAAGCTAGGGCATCTGTAAAGTGTGTCCCTCCTTCTCCTGAGTTTCAACACCACTGTAACAAGGTTCAAAGGACAACTGGAAGAAGAAGGAGGAAGGACGGATGTTTTTCATGTTTGAACCAACATTTTTTAACAGACGAACACACAAACATGGCATCTAGGCCTGGTCTTCTCTCATCTTCCTTTGTCACTCCTAATTTTATCCTTCCAGAGCTCCTATGTGGGACTCAAAACTGGTGTTGCACCCAGGGGATGCTCACCAGTGCTCATGCCACCAGCCTCACCATTTTTTCCATGGCTCTTGACCATGCTCCTACCTTGGTTAAACATTGTTATTTTAAAAAAATAAGTGAAATTAATTTGAACTGGTAGGTATAACAAAAAGTGTATCAATTAATTAACCTCAAAGCTCACAATAGGTCTACATTTGAAGATTTTTGCTGTTGCTAAATGTCTATTTTATAGAGAATAAATTACCTGTTCCATTGTCCAGGAGTTGAAATGTTTGTGCAGACCCAAATTCAGACTCCACTGTAGCAAACACATGAGCATTTATGACTGGCTTGTAGTTCTGATTAACCTCAGCAAACACTATCATAGCTTTACTGCCATCGCTGAACTGTTGGTTCATTTGGGCTTTGACAATGATGGGAGGAACATTTGCATGCGCCGCAGAACTCGTCGCTGTTACAGTCAGAACCTGATGTCTTGGACTTAAGATACTGTACTTCCAGTCCCCAGGCTACCAAAACACAACAGAATTATTTGATATAGGAAAAAAAATTGGTTTGGAAGTTAACAGTTGTCCTACCTGTGCAATTCCTGGAATTTTTAGAGTGACTGTTCTTCCTGATTCTTCATGATGCATCTGCGTTTGATTGAAGATTGAACCATTTGGGGATTGTATGGAAACATGAGGAAAACTGGCTTCATAGGTTATTGTAAAGCTAGTTTTGGAACCGATAGTCTGATCCACTGATACTGTCCCATTGAACCAGTCAGATGTTTTTTTCCCCACACTTTCTATCTAAAGGAGTACCACATACAAGGTTAAAAGGACATGTATATATATTGGAATATTCATCATGGTATTTTCTTAATGTAATGACATGCATTTGTCACACCTGAACTGGATCTTTTGTTTGGTTCCCTGTTGGCATTGTTAGTGAAGAAAATCCATTCAGTAGCTGATTAGAGAGAACATCATCACTGGCTGTGATAAATTTCCCCCCTAATACCAACACAGAACACATAAGAAATTGGTATCGGTGAGCTTTTGAAATGATTCCCTATCAGACATTATTAAAATAATTTGTTAGTGAATCAAACTAGACTAATCCATGGTCATGTTTTCATCTCTAAGTTTAAGCAATCCCCACCCTATAACTTTTTATTTCATTTTTAAATGTTAAGAGTCTATCTTTATGTCTTGGACACAATGACCAATCAGAGGTGTTGAGGCCCGTGCATACTGAGATGTTTTTTGCTCATGTTTTCCATTGACGTTTAATGCTTCGTGACAAAATAAAGGCCGTCAATGTGATCGTGCACACCAACACACAAAACGCCATGCGCAAAAGCATCATTAAAAAAACGCCTCATGCTCGTTTTTTTTGTTTTGACGCGCCGCATCTAAACCTTCTCTACCAATCAGATTGGCATTTTTGTTCACGTGCACGGAGCTGCTGAAGTTAGAGTAAACAGCACTTGGAGGCGCACAACCGCAAAATTGTCAATGTGATTGAACATTGGAGAAGATACCCAGAGGTGATATAAACGTGGAGCTGCTTTTTACTCTGGTGAACAATAATCATTTCTTCATCGCTAGAGCTGGAGCTGCTGCTTGAACCATCTATGCTTGTTCAAGTCACTAGTAACTTTTACAACAAGTGCGTGACCTTCCTCTCTTCCTCTTCTTCTGTGTTATAAGCGGGTGTGAGACGCTAAAAGTTGTGTAGCACCATCTACCGTCATGAAGTGATTTTGCATACTCTTCTGCTTGACGGCAGTGAAAATCACTTGGGTTTGAATATGGAAAAACGTCTTGTAAAACGCTGACGAGAAACGCAAAAAAAAAAAAAAAAAAAAGCGTCCCGGTGTGTAGGAGCCTTTAAAGTTAAAGTTTTTTGTTCAGTGCCAATTTCTGCTTGCAAATATCCTCTAATTATGACATTATAATTTGTAATATAAAAATAAATTATAAAAATATCTCACTTTCTAGGCTAAGACGTCCACAGTCACATCTGCTGTATGCAGCTTTAGGTTTTAGGGGTAACATCCACATATAAATACAGAATCACTCAGCAATACAAATGCTAAAATACTATATATTTACTCACCAGTTTTGTCTGCCATTTCTCTCAGTGCTTTATCTGCTTTATCACCCAAAGCTATTGTGTGTATAATGGCACCACTGTTTATCGCAGCTGGAACACAATAACTAATGTTGTCTGTTGCTTCACCATCTGTCAAAAAAATGATTTCATCTCCTAATACACCTTGATCGTCCATTTTGAGTACCTTGAAGACAAGGAACACTGGCATTTAACAAACAATCAGACATTATAAACTTGCTAAATTACATGGAAGCTTGCTTGTTTAATTATTGTATTACCTTTAAGCCTAGATTAAGGCCTTTACACATGTATGTCCAACCTTCTGTTTTTTTTGGCAACAAATTGACAAGATTTACTCGTGTGGACTCATTATCAATGGTAGTCAAGGTGCTGAGAAGAGAAGCATCAGTATTAAAGGTCACAATTCCGACACTGGATTGATCCTCAATGATGTTCCGAATGAAATAATCAGCAGCCTGCTGTAGTCGAACAAGACGAGAGCCCTAGAAAATTGATGCAAATTGAAAAGTCTTGGTAATTTTATGCATTGTGGCATTTCAAAATGATTAAACAGAGTATTGAACGTTTTAATAAGGGATAAATCTCTATTTTCCCCTGTGGGAGGGGAGCTTTAAGGCTACTGTATGTGGAAAACTTCCACTATGAGGATTTTGCCAGAAAGCCAATCATCTTAAGAGGAATAAATTGGACAAATGAAATGCCAATGAATTGAAAGCACCAGCGCATGCAGCTGGCAGCAATCACAGAGCAGCCAAGGGATGCGAGGCAATTCCCTAGGTCAAGAATGCTGTTGTGGTCAGTCTTGCCTGTATGGTGCCTCTTCCTGGCATGGTCAGCCTTAGCTCCTGTCCAAAGATCCGACCCAGGTTTAATGCACTATGCACAGCAACCGACTATGCTCTGAGAACCACAAAGACGTCTGTAAGTGCCCTGGGAAGGACGATGGCCACACTAGTGGTCCAGGAACGCCACCTCTGGCTAAACCTGGCAGATATGCTTGACCTTGACAAAGTTCGCTTTCTTAATGCACTCATGTCCCAGGCTGGCCTGCTCGGCGATACCGTGGGTGAGTTCACCCAGGAATTCGCCACGGTGAAAGAGCAGTCAAGTGCGATAGGAAAAGTAATCTATAGGTGGGCTCTCAAAACCGTTCTCCCCACTGACCCATCCACGTCGGCTGCTCCTCACTGACGGTGCTTGTCTGCAGCTCCAAATTCTGCTTCGCCGCCCTGTTGGTTCTAATGGCTAAGCAGCAGCATCGAGCACACCGCAGTTGATCAACCGCCCCTAATCCTTACTCTAGCTTTTATTTCTCTGAGGACTAACAGTTCTCTTATTAAAGTATCACTTATTGCCTCTTCACGTTGAATAGCTAAACCTCATTTGTAATTGTTTTGGACAAAAGTATCTACTATATTACTAAATGTAAATGTACAATACGACAATTAAAATAGTTTGATCAGCATTAATGTAGTTACAAATTATTAATGAAAATTAAGTTCAGCTTAAAATTTAGTTTTTTTTGTTAAGTGTGCTAGAACCTTAGCTTGTTTGGGCCAGACACTGGCTAAACAAATGACACTGTAACAACAGCAGATGGCGCAACATTATGACCTAATGAGATTCAAAAATTCAATCATTCAAACGAGGCGTTGGTCAGGTTAATCTTTTGGGCCGCTAATAATATCTTTTTGTGTCACCAAAACTACGTGGGCCCTTAAAATAGTCCTAACCACTGCCCTCTCCCCCCTCCCCCTAGTGTCACCCCTGGACAGATCCAAGAGCATTGTTCTGGAAGATTCTAACGAAAAGTTACTGACATTTGGTTTGCATAAAACCAAGTAATCACTAAACATTTAAAAACATTAACACATGCTGGATAAATTGGCTGTTCATTCCACTGTGGCGACCCCGGATTAATAAAGGGACTAAGCCAAAAATAAATGAATGAATGAATATGCAGTAGTGATGGCAAGTTCAGATCTTATTACTGACCTTTGAGTCTCGTTCAGCGAGACAAACAAATCTTTTATCAAGACATTTCATTTAAATTGTCAAAATATCATAACATTTTTACAAGTTGTTTCCAAACACATCTACACCTAACGCAAATGTTGACTACAAACAAATCAGAACTATGACGTTAATTCTATAAGAAGTAGAAAACAATTCACTTAATTTGTCTGTGATTAGCTCGGCTCCTCTCCAGTGACATTTCCTCAAATTAAATCATCACAAAGTTACTGTGGACAGCATCACTAAAACGTTGAGAATAATTTAAATACTCAGTTTTTAAAGCAGTTGCTGCTAATTACAAACTAACATTAAGTGAAGTTTATTGATAAACTAAATTGAGCGGAGCACGTGCTTATGATTGATAGCACCTGGTCCACATTAGCTAACACTGATTTATCAATCAGACAACTCCTTAACCACTATAAATAACCAGAGTGTCTTACTTCAGCCATCTTCATCTTGAAGACCGCTCTGCTCCGCGACACCATCAGCAGTTAATTTACAAGCTACAGCAGCAGCCACAACAACAACTACTACTACTACTACTTCAAAAACAACTGTGACTCCAACATTTTCAAAAACAACTTCAACAACAACATCAAAACCTTCCACTCCAAAGTGCCTCACACAACGCATCTGCTGTGTCTCCAATTGTCCAGCAAGATCACAGCAAAACTCCCAAGCTATTGCAATGAAACTGAACCCTCACCGTTCTCCTAGCAGTGCACCTGTGGTAACGTAAATAGCATGCATACTTTAAAGGGAAGCTGAGTAAAATAATTACACCAAATATTTAGACCAAACATTTATAAATCTCTTGAATAATGAGACTAGCGTCAACAGTATGATTTTAACAAAGATACTTACCTCTCAAGCTTCCTGCCTGTCCACAGATCTGTAACAACAGCTTGTTTGCTGGAATGCGTTCAGCAGTGCTGCATTTCCAGTAATTTAACAATAGTGATTTGATCAAAAAACCATCCAATGAGCTCTAAAAAACTGGAGATGCTCCCGCCCTCTCTCTTGACTCTGTTGCAAAGTCTTTATGAAAAATTTGGCCAGATAGCTTGTGATTTTAGTTAAGTTAAGATTCCAACAAAATGTTATTCATTTTCATATTCATATTCATTTCCAACCTATAACACTCCACATCCATTCCAAATACATTCACACTCTACACCAGGGGTGTCAAACTCAATTCCTGAAGGGCCGCAGCCCTGCACAGTTTAGTTCCAACCCTGCTCCAACACACTTACCTGTAGGTTTCAAACAAGCCTGAAGGACTCAATTAGTTTGATTAGGTGTGCTTAATTAGGGTTGGAACTAAACTATGCAGGGCTGCAGCCCTTTTGGAACTGAGTTTGACACCTGTGCTCTACACAAAGGATACATTTCCACTCACACAGCCCACACCCCGATGCCATGTTCACACTAACTTTTTTTAGTTTTGAGATGTTCTGAACTAATTTTAAATTTCAGTCTCACAATCCACCCCACCATATCTGATCTAATCTTCTTATTAAGTAAAGCAAAACAGATCAATTTCACAAAGCACATCCTCCTCCCCCCTTTACACACACACACACCCTTACCAAACCCTCTAAGCATTCTTACATAACAGGAGAGCAATACCGACTCGAGGAAGCCAAGCCGATCTTCTCCAGCCGACCTCCACCCACACGCATTTCTAGGAACAAGTATGACTTTGCTATTTCCCCCTATTCCCCCTCCTATTAACTAGGAGCTCCTCCACTACCCTCCCCCTTTTCTTCCCTACACTTTCCCTCCTAATTCGAACTATCCCATACTTCTATTCACTCTCATTCCCCACAGACCCACTTAGGGGTTGCTCAGAGTTTCAATTGCTGCAGCAACAGCGCTCTAAACGAGCTCAGATACACTTACATTTCCAAATACCACTCTTGTTACACTCCCCCACACTCATACAGCAGTAAATGCTTCTGCGGGACTGCACATTGCCTCCATTCTGACCCATAGCACCTCTGCAGCAGAGATGCTCCGCTGACCTACACTCATCCATAGCACCACCGCAACTGCAGTGACGCTCTAGCTGAGCCCTTATTCACATTCATATCTACATATCACTAATGACAGCATTTAACATCCTGCGGGAGCACTCATAAGGCTCCAATACTGAATACCACCGCACCTCTGCAACAGCAGAGACGCTCCGCCAAGCCTTATTTTCCCTTTGCACCACTGCCGCAGCAGTGACGCTCTGCCTGAGCTCACACACACACAATCCTCCATTTAGCCATACACTACCGACACACGCCCAGCACCGCCACAGCTGTTAAATCGTCTCTGCAGAAGTGTACTTGCCTTCCAATATTGGCTTCCACCGAACCTCTGCAATAGCAGAGAAGCTCTGCTAAACTTCTTTTCCCTCTGCACCACTGCGGCAGCAGTGACGCTCTGCCTGAGCTCACATACACCCCTATTTAACATATTACTTCAGACACGCTCCTCAGCACTGCAACAGCAGTTCAAACGCCTCAGCGGAAGCATATTTACCTGTTATTATTATCGACTTCCATTGCACCTCTGCAACTGTAGTGATGCTCCGCTAAGTTTAAATTCTCTTCTGCCCCACTTCATTCTATCGCACCTCTGCAGCAGCCTAAACCTCTCACACTCTGGACTGGTTCCACCTTTGCTTCTGTAAACTCTCTCTAGTACCATCATTATAACACTTTCCATTTAGCAGCCCCCATACTTAATCCTACTGCAGGAGTCTTCACTGCCCCGTCCCCTTTCCCGATTCTTGCAGGACACTGGCCCCACAGCTCACTCCCGCAGGAGTGCCACGCAGCCTACCCCCACAGGAGTAATACCCCCGCCCGGCCATTAGCCAACTCTTTATTCCTTCAGCATCGCGTGCTCCGTTTTCTTTTAGCGTTAAAGTCTTCCGCTCCCTTTTCTTCCTTCAGCATTGAATGCTTCGCACCTTTAAGCGTTGAAGTCTTCTGCTCCTTTTCTTCCTTCAGCGTAGAGTGCTCCGCTTCCTCCTAGCGTCAAAGTCTTTCGCTCTTTCCTTTCTAGCGTTGAGTGCTTCACTTCCTTTAAGTGTTGAGTATTCCGCCCCTCCTCCCTCCTTACTCCAGCACAGGAAGCTCCACTTTCTTTGCCGGGTTCCTCCACTTTCTTTTTCCTTCCAGCATTTATTCCTTCCCTACTTTCTGACTTAAGCAACATATTCGCAGCTCTATTCTTACTTCAGCCCTCATTCCCTAGCTCTGACTCCTGCTAGAGTATCCCTGAGCTAAGCGTCCATGCCCCGCCCCCTCTAGCAGGAGTCTAAACCGCCCCGTCCTTTTCCCGACTCCAATAAGAGAATGGCCCTGCAGCTCTAACTCCCGCAGGAGTGTCCCCGAGCATCAGTTCCCGCAGGAATCAGTCACTGCCCCCGCCTGGCCCTTAGACAGAGAGAAAAAAAAACTTTCTTCCTTTTAGCGTTGATGCTCCGCTTCCTTTAGCGTTGAAGTACTTCGATTCTTCTTTCTAGCGTCGATGCTCCGCTTTCTTTAGCGTTGAAGTACTCCGCTTTTTCTTCCTTCTAGCGTCAATGCTCCGCTTCCTTTAGCATTGTAGTACTCCGCTTTTTCTTCCTTCTAGCGTCGATGCTTTGCTTCCTTTTAGCGTTGTAGTATTCCGCTTCTCTTATTTCTAGCGTAATGCTCTGCTTCCTTAAAGCATAGAAGTACTCCGCTTCTACCTCTCAGCAACAAGGACTCGCTTCCCTACAGCTATAAGTCCCTTCGCTTCACTGCTTCCCCCTTTTTTCTTTTTAACCTCCAAGTCTCTTCGCCACCTTTTCTTTCTTCTAGCAAAAGCCTTCAAAGCTTAATTTCTTCCTTCTGCATAGGCCCTCACTCACCAGCTCTGACTCCCGCAGGAGTTTTTCCTGAGCTCGACTCCTGCAGGAGTTTACAGCCCCTCCCCGCTGGAGTCTTCACTGCCCCCCTAAACTGACTTCAGCGGGAGACTAGCTCCGCAGCCAACTCCTGCAGGAGTTCCTCAAGCTTGACTTCAGCAGGAGTTATCCCCGCTTAGCCTACCGCAGTAGCCTGTCCATAATCAATCATCAGCTAAGGGGCGGATCCTTGAAGTGAAGTTTATTGATAAACTAATTTTGGAGAGGAGCACGTGCTTATGATTGATAGCACCTGGTCCACATTAGCTAACACTGATTTAACAATCAGATGACTCCTTAACCACTATAAATAACCAGAGTGTCTTACTTTAGCCATCTTCGTCTTAAAGAATCCCCCCTTCCACCCCTACTCCTCCCATTTCCTTGTCATGGCAGCACGGAGGCCTAGTGGTTAGCACCACGGCCGCACAGCAAGAATGTCACCAGCTCGGACACTTCCTGGCCAGGGCGGCATTTTTGTGCAGAGTTTGCATGTTCTCCTCATGTGTGCGTGGGTTTTCACCGGGCTTTCCGGTTTCCTTCCACAGACCAAAAACATGTAACATAAGTAAATTGACAAATCTAAATTGACAGCTTAATAACATTAACCTACTTCCAAAATTATCAAGCAGGGGAGTTCTCAAGACCTACCTGAACTCGGACTCCCCTCTCACCCTATAACGGGGGGGGGGGGTGGGGGGGGAGGGGAGCCCCGGGGAGCCCCGGGCTCGAGGATCTCACAAGTTCAGGGCTCTCTCCCGGGACAGCATTCCAAACAAGCTCCATAATCAATCATCAGCTAAGGGCGAACTCTTGAAATACAGGCTTACAGAATTTCTGTATGCATGATAATATGAAGATTTATTACTCACTGATGTTGAAGCACTTCCAGGTCATCAGAGATGTAATGACAGGACAGAATATGTGCTATCAAATGAGCTCTTGTGCAGCCTTTGTTGAAAACCAAGGTAGTATGGTCACCCAGTCTTCTTTAAAATGTTGTATAAGAATGTATTTGACAACAAGTTTTACCTGCAAAAGTGTGTGTGGAGTTTTCCACGGTCATTTGCAGTACTGTATTTAGATGCACAGTAACTGTTTTTATTTTATTCATTGAAAAAGCTACAGTAACATCCTGTTATTGCTATGTTCCTTCACCACAGTGATTGCACCTTAGCTGACAGCTGTACTTCAGCTAGAAAAGGTGCTTTATGATGCGTGGCTGGCATTCTTAAACACAATTGATTGTGATTGCTGCCAGCTGCGTGTGCTGGCACTGCCAATTCATTGGCATTTTGTTTGCCCATTTTTATTTCTCTTCAGATGATTAGCTTTCTGGTGAAAACCTCATAGTGGAAGTTTTTCACATAACATTTTGAAATGAGGGTTATATAGTAATCATTTAGTTTTTTTCACACTAAGCTTAATCCCAGGTTATTGATATTTTAAATACTGAGTAATTCCATGTAAAGGTGTGTTTCCATGGGCAGCTGTGGCCTAACGGTCAAAGAGTTGGAATAGTGCTCTCTTCCACCAATAATACCCACAACTGAGGTGACATAAGCCTCAGTTTCTTCCCTGCTTCCATAACAAAATGTTGCATACTGCTGTATATGTTCACTCACTTCATGCACATGCGTGTGCATTAAAATGGAAGGATAAATGCAGAGTTCAAATTCTGAGTAAGGGTTATTGGGTAGATTATTTAACTTTTTACTGTTTATGAGCAAGAACAATGCTGAATTGGAGCATATGGTGTAAAATGTCTTAAATGCAAAATTAATTGTTTCCTAAGTTTAAAGAATATAAGCAATTGATAAAAAATAAAAATGAAAAATTATAATAAATAATAAAAACAAATTTGTACAAAAAATTCCACGCTATTAATAGAAACAATAATTTTTAGTTTTTAACTAATTAACACTGACCATTTTATTTACAACTTTTAAAAAATATTTTATAAAATGTCATTTGAATTGAATTGGGTAATTTGCAATAATTAAAACAATAAAAACAGCAAAAAGAAAAAAAAAGAAATTCATCCTAAGATAATGATTAACATGGTAAAAACAGTGTGAAATGTGAATCAAGGTGTTTAGATAATCTAGTGTTAACAATTTTAAATGTGAAAAGCATATCTGTTTTCAAATGAATATAATGCTTGCATATATCATGCTTCGTGACGTATCAAGGACCAGACAAACAGCTCGTTGCATCCGTTGCACAACTTTAAAAGTTGGCGCTGGTGGAGTCGACGCCAATGGTTTTAGAAAACGAAGTTCATCTTTATCGACAGAATCCTCAAATATTACGGTCCAAGTCGCTTTGTTGCTGCATTTCGCATTTTGTAAGTTTGGGGCTTCATAATTGTGCTCGCTTTCACGACAAAATGTGATCACCTGAAATAGAAAAATTTTTAATCATTACCCTTATTTTATTTTCATTTAATTTATTATGCTGAACATAAGCACTGCAAATGATTAAAGAACATCTTGCATGTGTTAAAATTATGAAAATTTGTATTTACAGAATCCAGGCTTGGCAAAGACATCATGGAGCTGTCTGTGCTTTGAAATTTGTTGGGGAAAAACTGCACCGATCAGTCGGTAGTAAAGTTCGTGAATCATTGTGGCACAGTTGAAAAGGTTCAGTGCTAACATCTCGAAGCAGACCTTTAATGCTTTTGCTACACCTAAAGCAAAAAGCAGTCACAGTAATATTTTGTACAGAGACAAGAGATCTTTCGTAACATCCTTTTTTTGTGTGTGTCAACATTCCTGACCTTGTGACTTCAATCTTGCCACTGGCAGAGCGGTAGAATGGAGTTTTTTCACTATATTCATCATATACGCCCCATCTCAGATGAGCCCATTCATGCACCAAGACCTTTCCTGCAAACAATTAATTTTCCTCACTAATAATAAAAGCATAATACAGGTTAAACAGTTGAAGGATGATGATTAATGTTTACCTCTGGACCCATAAAGCTTGATGAGTTTGTCATCTCGGAGGAAGTTTGGTGTAAAATGAAAATACTGACCCTCGGCTCCACATTCACCATACTGGTTAGTGTACGGTTCATCACCATATGCTGGATGAGGACTATCGATTCTTATTTTGGCCTGCAATTAACAGAATTATCTGATGTAAATAAAATGAATGAAAATTCAGATTTGACACATAAAGTAAAATGACTTAACATCGACCTTTTCAAATGTCTCTGTTCTTGCTCTGGAAAAATCCTTAGTACTCCAGTGAGGTGGCACTAGTATTGTAGCTTCTTTGAAATAGACCTTTTTATCCAATGCTAGATACAGATGAAACAATCCTTCAGTAAACATGTTCTGTAAAAATCAAAATAAAAAGATATAATCTTTCTAAATAACAATTTACACATGTATAACTACAACTTGATAACTAGAACTACAGTAGCATTTTAATGCAACTCTGCTAACTACCTGATATGCAGGCAATAATAATTTAAAATATTTATACTTGTCTCATTTTTTGACCATTTGATACTGAAAAATAAAATGAAATATAATTAATAAATAATAATACATTTAAATTGATCACCAACATTAACTCAGGAGCACAATATATAATTTTATCTCTCAGTTCCTGCTCAATGTCTAGTTGTTATCTGTACTTGGTCTCTAGTGCACTAAAAGCAGAGAAGCCAGTCTCACAAAGATAGGGTGCTGCAAAAGGAAGAAGAATGCTAATTTGCCCTAAGAGTAGATACTGCCTCTTTACACTCAGCCAGAATTCACTCAGTGGCTGTGATGTGAATCTCACACTCAACATGGAGTCAGACATCAATAGCCGTGTTTCCACTATCGCGCCTAAAGCGAGCGAGCCAGGGCAAGCCAAGGCCAGTGGTGTTCCACTGTCACTTCTGGGGCCTAATCGGGCCAAATCGGGGCTTTCTTGGGGCCAGTGGCTGGCCTTTTACAGCCCGCCGAATACCTTGGGCCAAAGAGCGAGCGAGCCAGCTGGGGCTTCGGGGCGGAGTGAGAGGCGGGCACAGTTTTTCGATCGCACATGAATATATGCGCCAAGCAAATATATAAATAAATAAATAAATAAATAAATAAGGGAAAGAAAACATCTAGCCTTATGGGGTCTTTTTGCGTATGATCACCTTTATTTTTCCCTTTTAAATGTAAGAGTGTTGCATAAAATAATAAAGTAGTTTTAATTTATAGTGATATTGCTGCGTCCTCCTTGATGTTTCAATAACGCATAATAATCTTTACACCATATTAAAAACACAGTTTAAAAGGTGTATTTGTGCACGTTTAAATGCCTGTATGTGTGTGTGAGACCGAGAAAAAGAGCGCTCTCTTTACAGCTGTGTTGATGCTGTGCGGCATTTTAAAAAAATATATATATTTTTAAATATTATACACAATATTAATACAACAGAAACACATAAAACTTAACAAATTACGTGCCCACTTTCGTAGACTTTAAACAATATAGTGTCATATCTTGATAAAATATCCTAAGCTGTATTGAAATATAATTTAAAGAATTACATACAATGGACATAATAAAATCACATTAAATAAATAAACCAATATAAAATAAACAAAAGCTAGCTATAACATTGTATGTAGCCTATATACAATACATAAGTCAAACCGTTTGTTTTAAAGCCATATAACTTTCATTTTACAAAGGCTTATCTATAAAAAAATATTTTAGATATTTTCTAAACAACAATAAACACCGGAGAAGGTTTGAAATATTATTTATAAAGTATTTGAATACGATGATATCAATCAAATCGTGCGAACAGAGCAATTTTTGGGTTAGAGAAAGCAGAATCTAGCCTACTTTTTTTCCCTGTCACCCAGTCCTGCGCATCGCTGCTTTAAACGCATCGGGGAAAACTGCAAATACAAAATGTGTTCTATACCTTTAAACAAGTGTTTATGTTTTATATGACGTGGTCTAATTTATAAATCAAACTTTAATAGTAGAGTTTTAGTGAATAGCTGCTGAGCGCAACAAATATGTCTATATTTTTTTAGGCTACTTGCTCTTATGTGCTGAAACACTTAACACGACGTCTATCAAAACAAGGATGTTATAAAATACATGTCATACCGAGTTATAACAGAGAATTTCTGTGGCTTTATATTATAGATATGTGCGCTAACTGTGCTGGGTCCCTCCGTTAGTGGCAAGAGCACTCGATGTACAATGCCAACAGTTGCTCGGAGGGTAAACAAATGTAATGAATGACAATACACAGGTCTGTGCTTATAGACATACAATGTACTGCTGTACAGTAACGGGTCATTTGTTCGTTTCGTGATGATTCCATGGTGTGTTTTATCTGCCTGATTCCTGCTGAAGTGGGCGGGTTGTGTGATGTTTGATTCGGGGGATGTTCTGGGGGCGGTGTTTGTGTGACGCGCTGCGAGCTACTAGCCCGACAGTGGAAACGCGGCATGATTTTGGCCTTTCCCTTGGTCTTTGTCCAGTGAGGAGGGCGGGTCTTTTAAGCAGAGTCTGTCGAGTCTTGACAGAGAGTAATGGCATCAGAGTTTAAACGCAAGCAAGTGCAAAAGTACCGCAATGAGTGGAAAGAATCATATACCTTGTTGGAGAGCGTTCTCTGGCTTAAGCGGTGCTGTCATGCGACAACATACCTCCGGAGAGCAGCATTCCCGCAATGACAGAGCTCACAAAAATCAAAGCAGTCAGGCAGTTGTTCTCTACCCCAAGTCTCTTCAGAAGCAAACATGGTAATGACCCAGTCTTTGAAAATCTAGCTGGAGTCATGTTTTTTTCTTTTTTTGTATTTTACTGTTTTCTACATTTTCCCAGAGATGGGTTGTGGCTGGAAGGGCATCCACTGTGGTGACCCCAGATTAATAAAGGGACTAAGCCGAAAAGAAAATGAATAAATTAATGTTTTCTACATGAAATAAAGAACTGTCTGAAAATAATAATTATAATAATAATATATGTATTTAATATTAACTGAGTAAAACCATGTCAACAACTGAAATCACAGTGAAATGAATGACTACAATCAAACTTTATCTCAACATTAGATTTGGCCTGGTTTTCACACACTGGGTCACATTTCAATGTAATATTATGATTTGTTTGTTAAAGATAATTCAGGCACATAAGCATTAATTTATCACATGAAACATTACATTTAATGCATTAATAAACAACATAATGCCCATGTAAAGAAAATAAACTAGTACATTGCAACTTTCCATATTTTTAAATTAGAAATGTGCTATTTGAAAACTTTACTTGCGAATGTTTGTAGCTAGTTTATTTAGGCCTATGTGCTGTTTTCATGTTTGAATAGTTGTTACTGCAAATAATGACAAACTTTTTTGCCAAAATCTGTTAACACTTCCACCCTTTAAAATTAGGTTCATTAGTATTTTCTTCTCTCCTCTAGGTTACAGCAGCTTACAGAGTTAACTTAGGTGTACCACACTATTCAACATAACATCAGCTACATCAGTGCTGCAGAGTTATAAAAGAAAGAGACTGACTGCATCTGTTTCACAGATTTCAATAAAAGACAATTTAACTTATTTTTATGTCCAAGTGTTCATACTTTCCTGAAACCATATTTTAAGTTGCGATTTACCACCACCGACATGCTATTGGGGCGGTGATTGTGGATGTGGCCCCTGCTGCAGTATGCATCCTTTTTTTTTGTATTAAAAGTGGTAACCTTAGTTGGCATTTCTGTGTCGAGTTTGCATGTTCTGCCTGTGTTCGCGTGGGTTTTCTCCTGGTACTCCAGTTTCCCCCCACAATCCAAAGACATGCGGTATAAGTAAATTGGGTTAGCTAAATTGTCCAAAGTGTATATGAATGTTTGTGAATAAGAGTGTATGGGTGTTTCCCAGTGATTTGTTGCAGCTGGAAGGGCATCCATTGCATAAAACATATGCTAGATAAGTTAGCGGTTTATTTCATTCTGCTGTGGCGACCCCTGATTATATATATATATATATAATGCATATATATAACTTTTTTTTTCATTACAGTATTTTATTTTATGAAATTTTAAGTTAATCTTATAATTTTCAACTGTTAAGGCAATAGAAGCACATAACTGTTTAGAAAGAGAAAGAAAGAAAGAAAGAAAGAAAGAAAGTAATCTGAACTAGGACAACCTTAAAACACAATGAAATGCACAGTGCAAAATCCAAAATACAGGAAAAAAAAAACCTGTATAAATCAAACAAATATTCATATAGACCTATTCTTTTATTATTTTAGTGCATATTTACCTTGATTTTATCAATAAGCATGTAGTCCTCTGGAACGTTCGAACTGATTGCAATGACAATGTCAACGTAACCATTTCCATCTAGTTTGATTCCAGTAGATGTGTAAGACAGCAGCATCCATAATAAAACAAACACTGTTCTTGAGTCCATGACTGCTAAATCTCCTAACTCCCAAACCCTGTTTTAAACAAAGTCACAAATGATATTGAGTGGTAGTTGAAGTAAAAAATAAAATAAATAAAAAAAGCGTATTTTATATTTAATACCTAATTTTTTGCAATGTCCCCAAGCAGTGCTGGGCTCTAGAAGGATGATCGTGCAGTCAAAATGCTATATCACACACTCTTGTTTAAGAAAGGAAGTCCACATTATTTATATATTGGAAGCAATGCAACAATGTCTCTTTGCCCAATCAGATTACTCATTACATTGCTATATATGGAAAAATCAAATCACCCAAAGCCTTACCCTACATGGCAATGGGACATGTTGTTTAATCTGGCACAATTTGTGTTTGCCAAAACTCCAGTAGGGTGTGGCTGCAGACTTGCTCTCTCAGGCCGAATTAACACCGCATGTTCAAGTGACCCAATTTCGTTTTTTTCACTCATGTGGAAGCACTAAGCAGGTAGATTGATTCAGGTGATTCAAAGTGAGTCGTACGACATTAAAAAATGTTAGTGAGAAATGTTAAATTAGAGAGAAAGACAGAATCTGGAATGTAAACAATGTAAAACAATTGCATACACCATGTGTACAAACTATTTTGGTCAAATTGTGCAGAAAACACATGGTCATGGACTTGGTTTAAAATGCTTACTTGTCAAAAAATGAAAGATTTATATAGGATGCCCCAATGCTTTGCAGTTACTTATACTATTTAACACAATAACTTTCCTGTTTCAATTCAATAATTTCATTAATTTCATTAATTTCATTCAAGTGAAACTTCTATAACGTTTACATTCATTCCACACAGACTGATGTTTTATAAGTATCTATTTCTTTTAATTTTGATGAATTAGATGTCAATTAATAAAAACTCCAAATTCAGTATCTCAGAAAATTAGAATACTACTTAAAACTAATAAAAAGAAAGGATTTTTTAAAATCTTGGCCAACTGAAAAGTATACTTAGTTAGCCATCCTTTTGCCTCAAGCCATTACTTTGTAACCACTAAAAAGGGCGGGGGCATGTGGTTGATGTTGGATTTGCGACCGCTAGGTGAAGTTCAATATTAAACTAATTTCGAGAGAAGCGCGCTCATGATTGACCCAGCTGGCCCACATTAGCTAATCAGGATGCTCCAATCAAAGGATACCAAGTCACTATATATACAGTATATATATATATCTTCATTTACTTTCTACAACTATCTTCCTCTGGAGGATTGCCCTGTATCTGACAGCTCAACTGCTACCACAATACTCAGCAACCAAACTTCTTTAAAATCAACTGTTCATCTACCCATAATCAAACAGCGACTCCAACTCTAATCTGCTGTACCTTCATCTTCATCCTCACAATTCATCAACCATCAATTCCAACTACGCTATCAAAAGAAATGGACAACAACAAAACCACCTTCAACACCCAGGCTGATAATCCTCTAAACTGTCCCAGTCTCCCTGATTCTCCAACAGCAGCCCCACAATGCTCAGCTCCACTAAGCTCTCAACTCAAGCTCGAGGCTGCCGGGAGAGGCCGACGCATCACCCATTCTTTCCCCCACAGACTCCCACTCCACAGATCACCAACTCCTTCAACCAAGAGACATAACAATTCAACTACCTCATCTAATGTTTCTGCCATATCCTCCGTCCATCCGTTGAAGAGAATCACCAGCATTGAACTCCGAAAACTCCTCTTCAACCTTGAAATCCACACTGTCAGATCCCTAAATAAACTGGAACTCATTAAACTGTATAGCAAAGCAACATCAAACTCTCATCATTCCTCAAGCCCTCCAGCTAGACCAGCTACCCAAAGAACTAGCTCCCATTTTACTCCATGCCCTCAAATTCTTCAGCCGCTACAAGAAAAAAAAAAAAAAAAAAACTAAACAAAAACACACTTCAAGCCACGCCCCCGCAAGATCACATTCCCAAGAAATCCAGCTGCATCATTCGACGTCACCCAACCCCATGCTTCACTCAGGACAATCCTTCTACTAACGCATTCACTGTACCTCTCTCCACCCCATTTTCCTGGCCTCCAGTCCCCCCATAGCTCCACTAACTGCCTGCATTTCCCTTCTACTTTCAACTCTAACTCACCCTTCCACTTTCACTTCTCTCAGCCCTCCAAACAATCAAAACTTGCCTTTCATTTCTCAAACCTCTGCCCTGGGCCCTGTGCATTCTAATCTGCCATTTACTTCTCAAACTCTGCCTAATAACCACTTTTCTTTTTCTCTCCCCACAGCTTATTCCAGCAACAACCCAGCTCAGCATCCTGCACTCCCGTCACAAGTTTCTTCAGCTTGCCCCCCATTTACCCTTTCCACCACCACACCCCTGTCTCCGCCGCATAATGTGCTCGTCATGGAACCTCCGCCCATCCCTAACGCCGCACGCAACTACATTCTGTCAGAAATTCTGATCATTGGCTCCAGAAACCGACCCCAACCCAATGCCTGCCCCTCTCTTTTCAGAAATGATTTTGCCCTAAGCACCCCCTTTATAACCTCCACCAAACCTCCTCATCTCCTAACCTCCAAGCCGTAGCCCCCAGAACCCTTCAGTCATACATCACAGCATGGAACACATTCAAACACTTTTACAACATTCATCATTTATTTTTCCACAAATTTTTCCTACTCTCCATCTCCATTTTATTTCCCACCTACACACTGCCAAACATATCCAAGCTAGCTCTATTAAAAGCTACCTCAGAGGAATTCAATTTTTTCACAAATTAATCTATAGGTCCCCATACAATGCCATTTGCAATTCACAAACTTCTCTCCTTATCAAAAGCATTCAAAAAACTCACCAACCACCCCAGATTCTAGACAACCCATCACTCTCAACATCTTTTTCTCATGCATTTGCACCTTATGCAAAGGTTGCATCTCTAAAAAGCACACAGTACCATCAAATTTTAACCCTTCACTCCACCCCACCATAGCACATCTAACTTTGCAGCATGAGGAACCCCTTTCTTTTCTCATCAAACAAAGTAAGACAGATCAAATCCACAAAGGACATTTCATTAACATCTTCAACATCCCCACCCTTACCAACCCCTTTCAAACCCTCCTAGCATATCTACGAAACACCAAAACACATTTTTTGAGCTGTTGACAGTCGTATATGTGTCCCACACTGCTAAAAACACTATTAGGACACCTGTATTTCACTAAAAAGTGTAAATTGGTAGTTTTTGCGTTATTTCAAGCAAATTCATACTTCCTGTTTGAAACAAATTTTTGAAGCTGCGTCATGACATAATAGCGTGTATTCCAGCGTGCAGACTGGGCGTCTGGGCCAGAGTGAGTCTTATTACGTCTTACAGTGTGATGCATTAATGCATGAGTAAGGCTTGGTTCAAACCAATCAGCGCGCTCTATTGTGAAACTTCATTAATATTCATTAGTGTCACCGTGTTTACACCACAGAGACGCCACGTTGTGTTGGCAAAACAAGCGTGAAGTGTTGCTTTTATAGTTTGCTGCCATTAAGTTTCGTTTTCATTTTCTTTTTGTGAGAGCTCATCTGGATCACGTGTGGATTAACAGTGTATGTGACGCTCGACAACAATAACTTACGTGTCTAAGGGGGATTATTGTTTACCTGAGAGCTGTTCTCATCTGCAAACGCTGAAATCCGGATTCGCTTGTAGTATTCTCTCCATAAAGACTTGGCTCTAGTTGCTGGGGATTGTCTTGTCTCTACAGATTTGGTAAGTGAGCGACCAGTGCTCTTTGTTTATTCAGTTTGTTCGTATCGAATTAAGTTAACTATTGCACTGAGTGCAAACATGTTAGCACCGCATTTTGTGACAGGAATAACACATTTCTGAAGCTACCTGCCTTGTGCATCTAAGTTTCCGGGAAATGCAGAGTTTTTTTTTTTCTCTCATTCGCTGTGCGGTATCAAACATTGCATGAAAAATACACGCTTAGAGCAGTTCCTCGAATCAAAGATCTCGTTTGTCGCGAGGGGCATGAATGAATTCCCTGAATGAAAGAGCCAAACTGCAGTTAAAGTCCAACATTTAATAATTTGGCAAATAATTCGACTACAGATGTCCATGTAGGTTAAACACCATCACTTTCTCCTGTGTGTATTTTGACTGAAACTCGCGCGTGCCCAAATAGACACTCCCACACCCTCCCACTTTAGTTCCTCCGACACTCCCCCCTAAACAGAGCTGGACACGCCCACTTTTCTGAATTTTTACAAAGTAGAGGTGTGAAAACACCCTGCTGAAATGAGGGGGTTTCATGGCCCTTTAAGAAGATCACAAGAAACAAACTCCCTAGCCCCCCTTTTTTACTGACAATGCTAATCGTCCAGTATCGCCTTTTTTGTTTCCAGAAACTGTCAAAGCCCTCTATTTGTTTATCTCAAGCAACCCCCTCTATGGCTCAGACTCCCGCAAGAGTCAATCTGAGCTTCGGCTCGTGCGAGAGCCTCACCTATCGCCCTCACTTTTATGTTCCCCCTGCCAACGGTGAGTTTCCTCCGCCTTCTTTTTCTTTTAGCTCTTTACTCTTTGTCTTTCTCTCTCATTTTACCACCTTTACCACTCCCCTTTTCTTTCTCCTTGCCAGCATTGTGTGCTTTTACTGCATTAGTATCTTTTTTTTTTGCAAAGTTTCTGTATTCTGTAAAGTAATTGTATAGAATATTTGTGTTATTTATAGATGCTCTCCCCCTTTTTCCTGTCAGCGTCGAGTGCTTTCACCGCTTTAGTTCATTTATTCTGCAAAGTAGTTCACAAGTATATTTTATGTCTTATATTGTACCGTTCTATATTCAGTAATAATTTTATAGTATATCTGTGTTACTTCCAGCTCCAGCTTCAGCCCCTTTTTTCCATGCCCGTGTTGAGTGCTTCTGCTGCATCAGTTCATTTATTCTGTATAGTTATTCACATATATTTACATTATCAAATCAAAATCAACTCACTTTTATTGTCACATCATCAGCAGCACGTGTGCTATGATCAGTGAAAAGCTTAGGTGCTGGCTCCAGACAGTACAAAATTTTGATAGTGCAAAATACAACAGCATACTCCCAAAAAAACAGGACAATGTAAGATTGACAGTGATATGTACAATGAATAGGTGTACACATAGTTGTAGGCAATATTGTTTTAAGTATGGATTGGTTAAAGTGCAGTGCATGCTACATATTGATGGTGTGCAATGAACACACTTTTTCTTTACACTTTGGGGAGTTGCCTGTGTAAATATGCATGTTCTCCCACTGTCCGAGTGGGTTTCCCCCGGGTTCTCTACATTATAGACACAAAAAGCCCAAATCTTTTTCTAAATGTGTTATTCTCAGGAAGTTCACCTTAGCCTCAGC